ATTATTATTATTATTATTATTATTATTATTATTATTATTATTATTATTATTATTATTATTATTATTATTATTATTATTATTATTATTATTATTATTATTATTATTATTATTATTATTATTATTATTATTATTATTATTATTATTATTATTATTATTATTATTATTATTATTATTATTATTATTATATTATTATTATTATTATTATTATTATTATTATTATTATTATTATTATTATTATTATTATTATTATTATTATTATTATTATTTATTATTATTATTATTATTATTATTATTATTATTATTATTATTATTATTATTATTATTATTATTATTATTATTATTATTATTATTATTATTATTATTATTATTATTATTATTATTATTATTATTATTATTATTATTATTATTATTATTATTATTATTATTATTATTATTATTATTATTATTATTATTATTATTATTATTATTATTATTATTATTATTATTATTATTATTTATTATTATTATTATTATTATTATTATTATTATTATTATTATTATTATTATTATTATTATTATTATTATTATTATTATTATTATTATTATTATTATTATTATTATTATTATTATTATTATTATTATTATTATTATTATTATTATTATTATTATTATTATTATTATTATTATTATTATTATTATTATTATTATTATTATTATTATTATTATTATTATTATTATTATTATTATTATTATTATTATTATTATTATTATTATTATTATTATTATTATTATTATTATTATTATTATTATTATTATTATTATTATTATTATTATTATTATTATTATTATTATTATTATTATTATTATTATTATTATTATTATTATTATTATTATTATTATTATTATTATTATTATTATTATTATTATTATTATTATTATGCTCTTTACAAAATATCAAAGTATTTACTTCGATAGGTAGTTAATATTACATTAAAGTATTATTTGGTAAGGTTTAGGGTAAGGCAATTTTCGAAATGCTAAACTAAATGTCAAATGTTAAAGTAAGTGCTAAATTTACTAAACTAAACTAAATTGAACTTCTTGAACTTTATCAATTCTTTCATTCAATAACAATGGTTTTGGAAAAGAAATGAAAACAATCAAATGATTAATTGTTATTTGATTTGCAGAAAGGATGAAATATGCAAATTTCATCCTTTATTAGATGATATATTTTTAGATGACAAAATGATTAGTCACATTAGTTAAGTACAATTTTTGTATTTCTTTATGGATGGAAATGGTCTTTCTTCTGTTGATGCAATGTTTTATGATAACATTTATTGAAGCTATATTTTATACAAAAGGTACCATCCATCAATAATCACATAAAGTTTTCACAAAAATTTTATTCGTTATTTTTTATTAAGAAAAATAAATAAATACTTTTATTGAAATATTACAACAATCATTCCCATAGGGCAAATTTCAAGTTTACAATGTACGCAACATTCATTTTGCTCTGAACGTGATCGTGCTCGTTGGTTGGAAAGACGTCGATTGTATCAAATTTTATTTACGCTCAGAAATGAACCATTCACGCAAATGTATTTCACTTTTGCAACTTTTTTTTTTTTTTTCAAAAACATACTTTAACATATTTTAGTTATATTTTAACTGTAATTTACGCATTGGTTTTTCATGTTCAAATGTGATAAGGACATATATAATAATTGATCACAAAAATCGAGAATCATCATTATCTTGATTATCATATATTATTATTATGTAATTCTTAGATTTATCATAAGAAAATATATTGACAGTTAAACAATTACTAATTTAAAAGTTCCGGATTAATTTTAATTAGTTACTGTATAATATTATATATGATTATTTCTAGATATGGTTCTTCCTTCTTCTTCCTTCAAATTTTTGTTTCTCTCTTCTTTTTTTGAGTTCAAAAATTGATAAAACCAATTTTAAGTTTAATATTTCAATTTTTACAAATTATCTGCTAATAAATTTTTATTAAAATTTTTTGTCTGTATTATTTATTGTCATTTATTTGTATTAAAATTTAGTTAAATATTTATTTCACTATTTCTATAACAAATGATTAATTTAATATTTTAATAAAAATTTAGTCAAATGCCTATGCCAGCATTATCAATTAATCGTTGGCATAATTACTTATGCTATGAATATCAAAGCGCAGCATTTTTGATGGAAAATGATAGTGAACGTTGGCAAATAGCATGCTTATGGAATGGTAACGATATTAATGGGACATGTGCGCCAGCACCGCCCAGTAATAAGCCAATTGATTATATTGAACCCGAAAAATGGCGACAAATGTTATATGTTAGTAATTATTATTCATTTTTAAAATGAAAAAAAAAAAAAAAAAAGAATGTATTAATTAAATAAATAAAAATAATTTGTTAGTTAATATTTCTGCAACTATTAAAATCAAAAAAGAAAATATTTTTTTTTAGAAATTTCGAAAAAGTATTGGTTGTACAACAAAAGCTATTTGGGAGGCAGAAAAGGTAATTTTTTTTTTTCCTTTTTTTTGAATCACTGAATGATGTATATTTATATTTTCTTTTAATTTTTCTTTTTTATATTTATATTTTTATTTACATTTTTATAAACAAAATTTTTTATTTATATTTTTAATTTTTTATATAACTTTTCTTTTTTATAAAAAATATTATAACTGCATTATAAACATATTCAATCTATAAGTTTAAATTTTGAAAGTTAACAGTAATACAATGTGGCAATTATTATTTGAATTATTATGTAAACAATTGTTATAATAATTTGATAATTATTTTTCTCTTCTTTTTTTTTTTTTTTTTTTCGTTTTTTGCTAACATGAAAATAAAATAAAATAAAATTATATGATAGGCACAAGAATTATATGTTTGTACGGAACGTTGTTTACATGGCGGAATTGGTTATATGCCAGTATTGTTTATTGCTATGACACTTATGATATCCATCACTTTGTTATGTTTTCGAGGATAATTTATTATGAAAAAAATTCACCATCATTATAAAGATTATTGTAATGAGAAGAAAGAAAAAGAGAGAGAGAGAGGGAGAGGGAAGAAAGAAAAAGATGAAAAACATATTTTAGAGTAATTTGTTAAATTTCACAATATTTTTGGTAAAATTTTGTATTTTCTTTTCTTTCCTGTTTTTTTTTCTTCGCGGAAAATTTTACTATGTTCCATTTTTATATTTCAAATTTTTATTTATTATGCGCATTTTACATTTTACAAAATATGTTAATAGAATATTAATTACTTATTATTCATTTATCATTGGTAAATTCTGCAATTTAATTTGTTTACATTTCATTCAAATCTATCGCACTATTTTCCTTTTACCTTTAATTGTATTATTATTATTATTATTCTTTTTTCTTCATTTAAAAAATCGAAAAAAAAATCAAAATTGCAAAAAGACGAAAAAATAATGAGAAGAGAGTTGAAAAAAAAAAAAAAAACAAAAAACTAAACAATAAAATGAAATAATAGGAAATTTAGCACCGAACATATCATCAATTTTTTAAAAAACTATATCTTATTACTGAAAAAAATTGCATTTTTTTTGTTCTTTTGTTTCTTTTTTTTTTTTTTTTGTTATGATGGTAAAAATTAATGTGAAATATTTTTCAAACAATCAAATCAAAAATTGTTTACATGAAAGTTCACATTTACATAAACATATATATAATCATTAATTGCATATTCAATATTTAATTCTAACGCTTTACAATGAAAACGACGACCTTATAGTGGTCATTTTGTAATTTAATTAAAATGTGGACGGGTGAATATTCTCTTTTAACAGTTTCTCTATTATATACAATATTTTCTCGAGGTATAATAATGCAATTATAATTTCGTATTAAAATTAGTAATATCTTAATGGATTCGACCACTTTTTTTCTTTTGTGTTCATTTAGTGAATTTAATTAATAACTATTAATGAGGGATATAAAATTTTTATATATTATTTGTTTTATTAAAATTCATCATTTATTAAACATAAATTATCTCTTATAAAAAAAAACTTTATACACCATATTTAAGCAATACATTTAATTAACTCATCCATTTAATGACTAATTAATCATGCATTTATTGTAAACAATGAAGAGAAAGATACACAACAGATTGAATCAAAATTTTAAGAAAGCAATTTGGGATTAATAATTTAATTATAAATCATAATTGCAATTTATTAATATGAATACATTCCAAACGATTAAAATATTTTATGCGCAAATACAGAAAACACAGCAAATATTAGCATCTTTATAATTGGTAATAATTATGATTATAATTATGGTTGCAACTGTGTAATATATTCCAGGACAAACAAATCATGATCACAATCATGATTATATAAATTTGTTATCATTTAGTGAACATTATCATTTATAATTGAAATATGATTAATTATAGTTATGATAATAAATATGTCCATAATATTTTAATACTACAATAATTTAAATTTACAATGATTATGACTATAAATATGTATAACATTTCAGGAGATACAAATCGTGATATTTCATGCACAGATTCATTAATATGTAGTGAACATCATCGTTTATTGTGGTTTCGAATGCGTAAACATGTAAATAATATTCTACAATTTATGCATCATAAACGATATAAACATAAAATGATATCAATGAAAGGTGATGAATCGTATATATATTCGTTAACAATGCGTTATATATTATGCAAAGAAGTGCAAAGTGTAGGTTTTATGAGTGATGGACAGAGTGACCGATGGCCTATACGATGTTTATGGAATGGAAATGCTATTAATGGTACATGTGCACCCGGACCACCGAGCAATCAACCAGTTTTTTATATTAAATCCAATGAATGGCAACAAAAAGTGAAGGTACGTCTTAGTTAGCATTTAATTAAGCATTCCTCTCCTCGTTCATAATGACCCTATTTACAGTAATTTCTCTTTTGTTTTTTTCAGAAGAATATTAATAACTTTTGTGCATTGTTTAAAATAAAGTTCTTTTTTTTTAAAAGAAAGTTTGGTTTATCTAGTAAATTTAGTTAATAATTATTATTCATGAGGCATAAAATGCTGTACATTCATAACATTATTATTTAGGAATTTCGCATTAAAATTGGTTGTAATAGTTCGGATATAGAAAATGCAAATAAAGTATGTATATCTTTTTTTTTCCAATTGTGGAGGTAAAGCCAAAAGTAGGCTTTTGTGTTTTCCAGAAAAACAAAAAAAAAAATAAAAGTGATGATATGATTGTGATTTTCGGAAGATCAAATCTATCAAAATATTGGTACTTCGGGTGAGGAATTAATAATTAGTCGTTTAAACTTATGAATGTTTAAAATACAGTTGGATGAATTGTATGTATGCAAGGAACGTTGTATTCAAGCTGGAATTGGTTATATTTCATCGATATTCATTATGACAACATTGTTTATCTCTTTCACACTGTTGCTGATGAAGTGAACAAGATGAAACTATGAAAAAGTGAAAAACGAAAATTCACACACAATGTTACAAAAACAACATAATAATTTCAAATTAAATAAAAGTTTTCCAGCAAATTCTGCATCGAATATAAATACAAGTTCACAGAATAGAAATGGATCTTTGAATCCTTAAAATTTAACGATTTAGAATTTCTAAACTTTTGAAAAAAATATATAAAATCTAAATTTTTGCAAAAAATTTGCCAAAAAAAAACGTAAATTTATATCAAAACTACATCGAATCTATATCAAAACTACAAAACTACGGAAATCAAACTCACATTTCATTGAGAATTCTCAAATTAGAAATCCACTGTTCGTCCACTCATCCATTTCAAATTTTAATGAAGAAATAAAAAACAAACAGTAATGTATATATCTGCGTACAAAAAAATATTATGAGTTCATACCTCGTAAATCTAAAGTGTGTTCAAGCAATATATCATATATTAAATACAACTCAAGAACTCACTTTTCCGTTTTGGATAGCGACAAATTTTGAAATCAAAGTATTGGATAAATTTCGACGATAATCGTCCATTTCTTCAACTTTCTGAAAAACAAAATTGTTCTGAAACTAAATCAGTTCATGTGCATAAGAGCTAAGATGTTTTTCTTTTTTTTAATTTCTGCAATTTTCTTTTGGTTTTTTTTGGATATTTTGAATTCCTGCTTCAATTCCTGCTAAAAGAGCTCGCTTCAGTTATTATTGGATGAATGAAATAAACAAAGATATAGGATAGAAAAGCAGCGACAGACAAATCTAATCTTTTTTCTTCCTAAAAAAAAAGATATTTCTTTGCAAAAAAGGACCTATTAAACGTCAAACTAACATTTCCAAGCAACTCCAATCTCCTTTCCATACTAGCAACAACGGCTTCTTCTCTAATTGCATTATCATAATAAATGTTTCGTTCCTTCAAAAGAGCATTCACAATATGATACATCCAAGTTGTATCCAACTTCAGTGTTAGTGTACAGAATTCAAACTAAAAACAAACCCATCAGGAAACGCTTTGAATCAAAATTATTCTTCTCTTCAACAATCTTATTCATGTTATTCGACTAAGAGAAGCACTAACTTTCATAATTATATATTCATTAATGTACTAAAGGGAATGATTTGTTAATAATCAGTTCAAAATAACATGAGCAAAGATTATGCCGAATATATTCATTATTTTAGGTAAGCGTTTTAGGTATATTGCTTACTTTCAATAATCTGATAATGAATCATGATTTAAAAGATGAAATAAAATGATTAAACAGTACAAGATGGCGTTATACCTGGACATATTCTTTATTCAACTACATTAATGAATATATAATTATGAAAATACATTAATGAATAAAGCCAGATTGTATTTTAAAATGTTTAGAGGTATAATAAAATCTTAATTGCACTGCTGCTTTTAATTTTAGATAATGACGAAAGAATTATTAACAACAGTGAACCTTACAAGTATAACAAATTAGTTTTTGAATTAAACACTCACCGTAAGACCATCTTCATCCGGTCGAATCCATTTCATCTGTAATAAATAAACTGCAATCATACAAATGAGGGAAATTTCCATTACACCTAAAACTATAATTTATAGCTAAAATTAAAAAGCGAATGAACGAATAAGATTTCATTTTTTTAGATTTCATCATCCAGTTTTTCCATTTTGAAAACTTTTACTTTCAATTGAGTTACTAGAAGATAAGCTATAGCAGATATTCAGTGGTTATTTCGCGACAGAATGTCCTTACTTCACAGTATATCAGTTCATTTTTTTCTTTTTTTTAGAAGATCTAATATTAAAAAAACCTTTTAAAGGTTTTTAAAGGGAATGATTTGTTGATAATCTGCTCTATCAGTTCAAAATAACATGAGCAAAGATTATGCCGAATATATTCATTATTTTAGGTAAGCGTTTTAGGTATATTGCTTACTTTCAATAATCTGATAATGAATCATGATTTAAAAGATGAAACAAAATGATTAAACAGTACAAGATGGCGTTATACCTGGACATATTCGGAACGTTCCATATTCAATGAATTCTTCTCATTAGCAAGTTCAGCAATGAATTCTTCATCTGTACTGAATTCACCTTCTTTGCGTAATGCTTCCCAACTTTCCTGATCATCTGTAAAATGATGTATACTTCACACCATATCTGATTATTTGACATATATCAAATAAAGTATTAAGACTAAAATTTTATTGTCAGACAATTATTTTATAATTGTAACAGTGTCATATCCCACTTTTTTCTTGCACAATTAATTAGGGTATGATTTTGATTTCTTTTAATTCTGTATCACAACTTTTTTGTCACGTATTTAGACAAACGAAATTATAAGAATTGTCACAATTAATCAATATATATACAAAAGAAAAAAAAGAAAAGAAAGAACCTACAAGTTGCTGTATATGATGAGCTAAGAATATCACTGATAATAACAACAATGACATAATCATCACTATCACAACTTTTACCAATGAATAAAATAGCTGATAATTGTTGCTCATTGTTTAATTCACAACAACGACGTACTTTTAATTCCAACATTTGGGTATATGCTCTAAAACACATTTAAATAATGATTCAAAACTTTCATTTTCTCGAATGCGAATAAAGTTATTTTGAAGTTACTGAATAAGAATTATGTCGCTGAAAAATTTCAACGAATTACAAAATATCAGATCAAAAATACCAAGAAAAATTGTGCTATCCAAAAATTACAAGATGTAAAGTTATATCAAAATTTTCAGATGAACATTACGCTATCCAAGAAGATTATAAAGCATAAAGTACGTCACAACATAATAGTAAGACTAGAAAATAAACAGCTTTACAGTCTATTATCACTTAATACGCTTAAATTCACGTAGTAGTATTCTTCTCTCCGTGCGGCCGTGCTGTTAAATCCTAACGACGTGAACGTTGTAATACGTGTTAAATTGGGATGATTTGTTATTGTTTTATTCGAATATTTATCATTTATTTCTCTTACTACTATAATATCTATCATTTTTAAAATGCGTGAAGAATACGTCATATAACATATTACATGTAATTTTTTTACATTTTAATGTATGACTTACATAAATAAATTGTTATGAGAAATTCTTAAAGAATCAAAAAATTACGAATTTATGTTTGTTTAAAATATTAAAATTTTCTTCTAATGTAACGAAAAAATTTGTTTTTTTTTTGCATACAAAAAGAAAAAAGATATAAAAGAGTTAAAAGGAAAAGAATGATGAATTGTTTGTTTATAATTTATTGCTATTTGGAGAGCAGGCGATATTATTGTAATATTTTATTTCAAACAAAAATTCGTATTACAATCATATACATATATCATTATCATTGTTATCAACGTCATTCTTATCATTTTTATTATTACTGCAATTATCATAAGTGTTATTCATTGATTGCTATCATAAGTAAAAATATACGAAATATTTTATTTGGATGAAGCAGTCACAGGTGATGAAGCAATCCTATCTGTTTATTTCTTCTCTCATTGATCATTTTATCAGAATTTTCAAATTAATTTATTAAATAATCTTCTACTTAATAATTGCTATAGCCATTTATTTTGAAAAAATTTTATAAATAAAGAATTTCATATTATTTACAAATGCATATGATAATATTTCACAAAATTATAATTATATCTTCGTTTTATAAAATTTTCCATTAATTTAAATTTCAATTTAAAAATAATTAGCTTAACTCAAGAACTTCAAAAAAAAAATAAATAAATAAACATCGAGAATAAATAAATAAACAAATAAGCAAATAGATAAACAAATATGAGTGTAAGCATATAACTTCAAATTTAAAAATTATATAGCAAATAACAACAAACTAATTATATTGTATGAAACGTAAAATAATAAAAGAACTGTTTCAAGAACTAAAAGAACTGTGATTGTATAATATAATAATTCAGCAAAAAAATTATTTCATAATTTATAGTATGTTTGTGTGAAAATATAGAAAAATATATTTATTTATTATTAGAAAGGATATATATAAGATATAAACTGGAATAAAAAAAGAAAAATGAGATATTTAAGACATCAGAAATGAGTCACAGCCAATTACGATCAAAACGACATCGAACATCTATTCGAGCTTCATCAGGCAGTCGAAATCCTTCAAAAGACTCAGAAAAAGATGAAGATTCAGATGAAGAATTAGTCGCTCCAGCTACACCAAAAACTAGCGATTCAGTGAGTTCAGATGATGATGATGATAATGACGACGATGATGATGACGATGATGGTGATAATGATAATGATGATGATGATGATGATGATCATAGAAAGGGTGAAATACCTGATGTTATTTTCAATCATCCCTTGGTAAACGATTTATTAGATCGATTTATGCGTGCAAAATTGCAAAATGATAATACTATCAACAATATCAATAATGATAAAAACACTGGGAAAAAGTTAGAATTTTTATTATCAATTAATTAAAATCTGAAATTAAAAATTTGATCAATTTTAGATAATTAGATTTAAAATTGTAGATAATTTGAAATGAATTCATTGTAAATGCTAATAAATAAAATAAAATTAATGTTCTTTCCGTAAAAATTGAATAATTTTTGAAATTTTAATTGTTCAAATATTGTAGTGCAGGAATTGTAATTTCTTTGAAAGTTACTGATAATTAAGAAAAAATTATTATTATTAGCTTATTATTATTATTATTGCTAATTATTTGACATATTTATTTATTTTGAATGATAATTGTTAATGTTAATTTGTTAATTTATTCCAAATATTAGATTAATTTTTGAGTAAATTAATTATTAATCAATAACTGCAGAGGAACATTAAAACCAGCACCAATTCATGCTGTGGATTTGAAATTTGATGAACTTCGACAATTATGTGATCTTGCAATGAATTCATTCGCAAAGCAGAAATCATTACTACGTATTGGAATGTAATTATAGCAATTACTTTCTTTTTTTTTTTTTTTTTTTTTTTTACTTTTACTTTTCGTGTGTTGTTTTTGTTTTTAGTTTGATTAGATTATTATTATATTTGCTATAATTGTTTTATTGTTTTTGTAATTTATGTTTTTATTGTGTAATAAATGATAATATATACTATAAACAATAAGAAAAAGTTTTTTGCTAATTTCTAGTGAAATGCTTCCAATAACGATATGTGCTGATACTCATGGACAATTCCGCGATGTTCGATGCATTTTGAGCACATGTGGTAATCCATCATCACGAACGTACCTTTTCCTCGGTGATTACGTTGATCGTGGATCTCAGGTAATCATTTAATTATTGACTATCTTTAATAGTTATATTTATCTTTTTTGTTGAATGAATAGTGACATTCTTTTAAATAATAATTACATCTATTGGTTAATTAATATTCAAATGTTTAGCATTCGAATAAATTTAATTTTCAATTCTACATTTTGATCACATACCACTACTATCTTTATTATTGTTATCATTATTGATGTTATCATTGCTAATTAAGTAATAAGCAGTTAATTATTAGTTAAAAAAAAAAAAAAATTATTAATTTAGGGAATTGAAACAGTAACAATGTTAATGTGTTTTAAAATTAAATATCCTACACGTGTGTATATGTTACGTGGAAATCATGAAGATGCTAATACAACATTAATTTATGGATTTTATGATGAATGTATCAATCGATTTCCAAATGATGAAGGAGAATTGGTAATGAATTATATCAAATTAGAAATAATTCTATAATAGGAATTGAGTAAATGAGAATATATTAGAATATATCATTCCATTAATGATAATTAATGCTTATCAATTAGTAATCAGATGATACAATTGATAATACTTATCAAAAGATAGTAATTATTTAAATATTTCAAGTTATATTTAATTAAAATTTTGTCTATTTCAGTTATGGCATATATTCATGATGGTATTTAATATGATGCCTTTATCAGCTATTGTTGGTGATCGAGTATTATGCATGCATGGTGGCATATCACCTCATCTCAATGATATTACAATGATTGAAAATGTATGAATTTATAACTGATAATATTAGTTGATAACATAATTTATCACTAGGTGAAAAAAAATTGTTTCCTTTTAGGAAAAAGTGGGAGATAATTAATATAAAATTTGCTTTGCTTTATATATATAGCAAAAGAAATCAAATTATTGCGATAATAGCTTTATATAATAGATAAAATAAGATTTGTTATATTCCATTTTAAATTGACATTAATTTTTTATATTATAGATTCCACGTCCTAGTATTGTACCACCATACGGATTAATGTGTGATATTTTATGGTCTGATCCAGATGATCGATATCCAGGATGGGCACTTAGCGCACGTGGTATATCATTTACGTTTAGTAGTAAAGTAATCAAGGAATTTTGTGAAACAAACAATATCGATTTAATCGTACGTGGACATCAACTAACAGCGGACGTTCGTTATTCAATTATTTGTTTATTTAAATTTCAGATTTTTAATTTTAAATAATATTTGTTTAATTTGCAAAAAAATTAAAAAAAAATCATACTAATTTTTTTTTGATCCATTTTTATCTTGAAATCTATAGCTCATCATACCATTAATATATGTAGAGAGAGAGAGAGAGAGAGAAAACAGAGAAAAAGGGGAAGGGTTTATTTCTTCTAAAAGCTATCTATAATTGGATGTTAGCTTATTCTCAATAACTAACTAAAGTAGTTAAAACATTGGGTAATCCCTGTGAATAATCATTGTAACTTAACATTTTCAGATGTTCAAAGGAGGGTACAAATATTTTGCTGGTGGACGTTTGGTGACAATATTTTCAGCTCCAAATTATTTAAATATGAAAAATGATTCATGCGTTTTACACATTTCACGAAAGGTTTATTACCAATAATCTTTTTTCCGGAAAATCAAAAACAATTTTTATTTTTGCATATTTACATTGAAATGATAAAAAAAATCTGATATTTCTAAATGAAACATCACCTAATTGTATATTCTAAAATATTTTTGTCCAAGAATTAAATAGTATTTCATGATTTAGCATTTTGTTTTGATAAAGTTATATTTTTCTTTTTTGTTTTTGATATGCAATAATTTTTTTAGTGCTAAGAGAAATAAATGTTAATGTAATATAAAATTACTTGGAAAACGATTTAAAACTTTTTCGAAAAAAAAACTGAACTATTTGATGAACATATATTTGAATATTCTAGTTTAAATGCCACTTTACGATATTTCGACCAATATTTCCTGGTGCTAATGGAGCGCAAAATGGCAAGGACACAGAGACACAAGCGGCACCAATTGAAGGATATTAATTTATTATAATGCAATGTTATATGTTATCAACCATTGCTTTATATAATTATTTGATCAAAATTCAATGTTTCCTTCTGATTAATTTTATCATCTTTTATACTTAAAAAAAAAAAAATCTTCATATGAATGATGCTAATTTTTTTTCTCGTGGTAACATTTTTGACGTAACATTTGATAGATGCTAACGACAACAAAAATTATTAATATTTATATGATTAGTATCTCATATGAGTACCATGTGAGATGAGATTATTTTTCTCATTACAATAATACAACTGAGAAATTACTAGTGTTATGTTCTTGCGTAAACTATCAAAAATCCAATTTTTACATTTAATATGCGGGAAATTTTAACGTACAAATGGTTATAATAATTTTCATTTTGTGAAAAAAAAAAAAAAAAAAAACTTCCAGTAATGTCTTATAAATAAGCACAAAAAAAGTTGAAACGTTTATCTAAAAGCACTCCCTCAACATTTATAAATGTTAAATTACAAAGCCTCAGAGAAAATGGACAACTGCATTCAAAAAAATTAAATTACCATAATGATAAGAAAAAATATCAACATAAAAAGGATTCAAAATGCTTCAATTAACACAATTCTTGACACTGACTAATAAATTAAGCTTGATGCTGTCTGAAAACTCGGTGTCTTCGATGGCTCAGCTACAGAATCATTATGGATATCGTACTTTTTGTTTTCTTTCGTCATTTTCCTGATTTCGGCTATCTGAAAATAAGTTTGATTTGTCCCTTTAAAATATTTTTATAGAGGAGAAGTCAAAAATTGCCTTCTTTGTGTATGTCAATGTTTTCTTCGAGCATATCAATATGCTTCTTGATGAATTTGATGAATATATTATCAACCTTCCGTTACATGAAGTCTTACAATTACAACTTTCTTCTTGTCAAGTGGAATAATAAGATCAATTGTTTATCTACTGTTTCTTGTAATTTTTTTCGTTCAAAAGTAAAGTTACAATAAGTAAACAGTTGGTCTTATTATTCTGCAAGTAATTTAAAAAAGTGGTTAATAACTCAAAACAATGTGGGAGGGAACATGATCATTAATTTTGTAAAAAATACAATTTTCTTGAAAACGAAACCTTCTGCGACATTTTATGTTGGTAGGTAAAGCTATTTTTCGAATTTTTATAAATATTATATTCGATATAGCAGGATGCCTTTTCGATATCGTCATTATGTTGTTCGCCATATAAATTTGCAATCAAAGCTGTATAAATTGTTGTACGCACCATTTCTCTTCGCTAAAAATTAGAAGCAAAGCAAATAGGAGCACTGAGAAAGAAAACAAACTAAATCGTAGCTTATGAAGTCAAAATCCAAAGCATGGATTCATTTATCAATTGATCAGCATACTATGATTTTATCATCTTTCATTCATTTCTTATCTTCTCCGTCTTGAGAATTCATTAAAGACCAGTAAAGACTAAAAATTTTAAAGATTAAAGGCTAAAAAGCAGATTGAAAGTTTCATTTTCTTCAATAGAAATAACAGAAAAGTAATTGAAAAATAATTAAATCTAAATCATCTTAGAAGACATTACAGTAACACAGAACAAACTTTATTAACCAAAAACTAGATGTTGAAATTCAAATAAAAATAAACAAAACAAGTACATTAGCTGTTAGACTGGCGACACTTTTTGCTGTTGGCTCGATAATTAACAAATTCATAGGAACTGAAATTTGAAAAGAATGAAATTTTTAATTAGATATGACATCTTGGACGATAGTTAAAAAAGTGGAGAAGCTTGTATTGATACAGTAGCTTACCTTTCTTACCATTATTTCCTGAAGTTGTTGTCGCAGTCTGAAAAATCATTTCTTGAATATATTTCATTAGGAAAAATTATTTTAGGAATATAAGTAGAACAGATTTGTAAAAACCCATAGTACGATAAGTGACACAAAAAGTTGCCGAACAATGAGCACAAAGTATTGAACATATTAGTATTTGGTTTAAACCAAACATTTTGAAACAAATTAAGCATTTCGAAACCTTTCTACGCCTCGCAAATTCCTGTTGTACAATTTCCGTACGACACTGCTTTTCCTTACTCTCTAAAGTTGACAGCGTATCATCAGATTCATCCGCATTCCATTCCCTTTAATGAAAGAATCAAATGGAAACTCAATCATTCCTATTACTATAACGATATTATAAAATAGAACAAATGTGTTAAATTTTCACGGAGGATTTGATGCTTATTTTTATTTTATTGTTTTTTATTGTTAAAGCTCACTTGACTCCTGCCCGACCTCCTTCATACAGGAAAGAATCCTCGCTATTATCGAAGCGACGTTTTCGAGACCGTGAACTGGCGACATCTTTCCAAGCTTCAGCATTAAAACGTGATAACATTTCATCGCAAGCCTAGAAACTAGATAAGAAAGCAATGTTTAAAAATAGTAGGTAAACAAAATAAGCTTTTATAAAAGTTTCAACTAATAGTGTGATCACAACCTTCGGATTTTTACAATAATCACAACTCTTTCCGCATGGTCGTAAGTCATCATCACCAAAATAACGGCCGAAAGATAAATGTCTACATCTGAATATAAAATTATTAATAAAATATGAAATATACAATTTAAACAACTCGATTTCACCAGTCATAATTTAAATTTAGCTATAAAATGCACAAGTCTAAAATTAAACATACTGGGATTTTTCACAGTATTCCACCATTTTTTCGAAACCATGCTGTATTGCTTTCACTTGCTCATCAATTATTATCTTATCTATTTTTTTGGCCTAAAAGAATAGATATGTCTGCATAGCCAATTTTTGCAACATTTATTCAATCATTTTTGAAAACTTATACTGCCTTTAGAAGTTATACCTTCGTTTTCGAAACATCTTGATTAACTAAAAAGTTGAGGAATCGTTTATCATCTCTGTTGTAATAGATACGGCAATAACTTCGTTTGCCGTCACGTCCAGCACGACCGGATTCTTGATAATATGCGGCTAGATTCTGTGAACATGTCCAGTGAACAACTACTCTAAACAATGAATTTTAATAATAAAAAACCTTTCTGTTTTGAATTAAATCTCACTCAATTGAAAATTTGAGGAAAAACATTGAAAAGGAAAGAATGGCTTCAAAAATCCAATCAAAACAAAAAAGAACCTAACATCTGCCTTGTCGATACCCATTCCAAATGAAATAGTAGCTGCAATAACAGGAACAACATTTCTCATCCACTTATCCTGGATGTCATCGCGCAGCTTTAATACGGAGAAAAAGAAATTAGAAAAGAAGTACTGAACATTGAGCTTTAAAATTATTTCATAGTTCAAAGTTTGGTTGCAACCAAATTTAAAAGTCTTTTAAATGGAATACATAAAGATGCCAGATTTTCAAATCAAGATCCAAGAAATGCAACAATTTAAAAAATTGCAGCCATTTGGGAATTTCGTAAAAAACAAACCTTATTACCTAAACCGGCATGATAAGCAAACGTAGGAATACCTTCCTCCGTTAAACGAGTCGCCATTCGTTCACATTCCTCTCTTGTGCGACAGTATACAATACCACTACCCACAAACTAAATCGATATATTTTTGTCTTTTGAAGAATAATTTCGTTTTCGAATATCCCAAAAAGACAGATAATTCGTCTAATATGAAACAAAGTCGGAAACTTGTTATAAAGAGGTTAATTGATGAAAATTTCCTAAATAATCAAAAAAAGTAATAGATTATTCAAGAAAAAAAAAAAACAACCGAAAAAGAAAACAAAACTCACGATTAATTTACCACACTTCTCTTTGGATTTCGAAGAATCTCCATTTTCTGCTGACTTAAACATTAAATTATCAAGAACATTAGCCGCTGATTTCAGCTCAGGAGCAGATTTTACAGTGGACTTCGGTTTCTGAGTACATCCTAATGCTTTCATCATGAAAAGAGCTAAATGTCTCTGAAAAACGCTTAATAATTGCTTCGAATTTAGAGAATTCAGCTGAAGAAAGAAATAATAGATGACAGTAATAGAATCTAATCAATAATATTCAGTAATCATGCAGTCTCAGATATACGTTTGTATCAGTAAATAGAAAAAGGAAAAATAAGAACCTCAGGTACAGAAGGTATAAGATCTTTTATGATAACATCGTAGTATAGATTATTGCGAAAAGTTGAAGCCTTGAACATTTTCACGTTGCTTAGCCTCAATTGCTTCACGATATCATCCTGTGCATTTTTGTTAGCTGTAGCGGTTAAAGCAATCCAACATATCTAGAATTTTTTAAATTTCATAACACTTCTACCATGTTCAAAAGATGGATTTTGAACATTCATTTAAATCCATCCGAGAAATCTATCTACTTATTAATCGGGAAACATTCAAAAAGACAGAATTATTACCTCAGGTGCTAGCTGCCGCAAATTTCCAAGTTTTAAATAATCAGGACGAAAGTCATGACCCCAATGCGTTACACAATGCGCTTCATCAACAACAAAATAATTCAACAAGTTTCTTTTGAACAAACTTGTAATCATTCGCTGAATATTTGGAGTAGCTGCAGATTCTGGGGTAATGTACAATATTTGCGTTTCAGGTTTTTCTGCCCGCAAATCCTAGAATTACATAAAAAAATAATATTTTTTTAAGCTTCCAAGAACATTAGTACGAAATTAGCATATCATTTTATTTTCATTAGTATATCGCAGCATAAAATCTACATTCTTAAGCAGTTTAGCTGACATATATCAAGCTTCACAGAACACTTATCTCAATAATTCGTCTTCGATCCTCAGCACCAATTTTTGAATTCAGCGAATCACATTTAATTCCACGAGCTTTACAAGCAAGCACTTGGTCTTGAATTAGTGCTATCAACGGTGAAAAAACAATCGTAATACCCGGATAATACATTAGCGCTGGTAACTGAAAATATAGCTTTCCTTTTTAGTGAATTTACTCTCCGCACTTACAAGCATTTAATTTCACAGTTTAAAACTAACGCATTATAACTCTGAAAGTGGAACATTTTAAAAATAATGATGCATACTTAAATTAAAAAATAATTATACCTGATAACACAACGATTTTCCAGCACCAGTTGGCAACGATATGAAAACATCAGATTTTTCTAAAAAAAAAAAAAAAAAAAAACTTTTATGATTATATATATATATATAAAGACAAATATAATAATAAGAAAAATTACTATGAAGACGAAAATCTTACTCTTTAAACTTTTCATTTCTTACGAATCTCACTGCTTGTAGGGCAGAAATGAATTAAGCAAAGCCGAATTCTAAAGTTTCAATCACAAACACCACTAACATTCAGTGACAAAAATGTCAAAGAAATTAAGAGTTATGAACTTCTTTTCTTAATGACGATTTCCCATAGCTAACAAAAAAAGCTACCATTTTTGATCAAACAACAAATCCATTAATAGAAATATAACTTCATTCACGCATAAATAAAAAGTGCGCTCACTTCTCGCTATGGTATAAATAGCTTGTTTCTGAATTGACGTTTTATATTTTTTGTGTTTGAAAACAGCACTCAAGAGATGATCAGCTTTTTCCATAATTTCTACGTTGGTTAAACGTTCTGAAGTGGATGCTCTTACAAAATTTCGATTTTCGGGCATCTTATCTTGTTCAGAAACAATCACAACCGGTAGTTTACGAGGTCGACCTAAAAAGCATTTCATACTAACTGAATAGAGATAAATAAAGTTGCAAGGATAACGAAAACAAACATTAACTCTATTTTCACTTCAAATTGATCTGATCTATGTTCAGAGTTTAAAACCAAAGCAAAAAATAAGAGTAAAACAATTACCTGATAGGGCTGCTGAGTTTGCTTCTTGTTTTTCTGATGAATGATTAATAGTGCTACTAATTTTCTTAAGAGGAGGATGCATCAAAAAAGCCCATTTATCAGCCTGATTTTGCAATACTTGTGGTGGTTTAAAATCATCCTCATCATCCAGTACAATAACTTCTAAAATATTTATAGTAAAATTCAAAAAAAAAATCACTATCACCATTTAATTTTCAAAAAAAAATGAAGCCATAAAAAACAAAATCATATACATACGAAGAATATACAAATTGAAAACAAATCTGAGTATTTAGCTCAGAAGTGATGTAAAGAGAGCTCGGAAAATCCCATCTCTTAGCTAATCATATTCTTCCCAATTATTACGTAATTTTAAACTATGAATTTTACTTCTTTATTTTCCTCAAAAAAAATAGCCATGAAATTCCTCCCCTTTTTGCTCAGAGGAAATAATTAATTGCCCTTAAAAACAGGAAAGAGAAGTGCCATTTATTCCCTTTCTGCATTTTCCATTTTTAGTATGCTCCTGCCATTTGTCGTCCTATGCACAATTTTAGAGTACTTGCAATACTTTCAAAACCATCTTGAGTTACTCGAAATATCACATAAGAATAAAGAAAAAACATTTTTTCTTGGTTCTTATGTCAAATTATAACTTCAAATTTATTTTGAAATTTCGATTTTCAAGTGTAAAAGAGAAAATATCTTTACCATTTTTGCACTCTTTGCATTAAATAATAAAAAAAGAAATCACATGAAACTTATTTAGTGACAAATATTTTATTAAAATTTAGTGCACTTCAAAACATACCATTTTTGGCAGAACTCGCCATATCGTCATGCCATAAAAACAAATTACTATGAAACACACAGCTATAAGCTAAAAAAAAAAAAAAAAACATTATTAGTACTCATGAAAAAATTCACATAGATTGAATTTTCGCCTGAATCGATACTTAAACAAGCTCATTAGCGATTAGCTAATGAGCTTGTCTAAGCGTTCAAACACAAATACTTATATGTTAATGGATACTTTACCAATTCTCGAAAAATTCCGTCATTAAATTCGCTCAAGTATGAACAGAATAACAACAGTATCCAATAGGTTCAATGATTCAGATATGAGATATAAGTAAGCTTTCGTTAAAACGAATAAGAAACACAAAGTTAAAATATTTATATGTACACATATATCGAATCATTAACAAAATTTTGAATTAACAGAATAAAAGATATTCCTTGTTCAAATATTTTAAAAAAAAAAAAAAAAAATAGACAAAAAATAAATTACAGAAGATCTTCAACAATGTTCTACCTTCGGATAATAGCAAAATTTCCTTTCATAAATCTACACGGTTATAGATTTTACATAAAAAAGAATTAACGAGGAAAAAAAAAACGACGGAGGAAATTATTTAAAAGTCAGCAATATTTTGCCACCTGTTACAATTAATATGTACAAAGCTAAGAGTCAAATGCACCATTTCCTAACAACATAATATCGATATACTGGTTATGGAGCATAGGTAAAGCTACTGAATTATTAATTTATAAAGTTTTTAGGAATAAATTCACTGTTCTACGAGCGAAATGCCTCATTTACCGTTGAAGATACACGTAAGCAAATCTTCTAAACTTTTTGAAGTTAAACTAAGGTCTGCTAAAATGTAAAAAGTAATCTAAAAATTGTTAATCATGAAACTCTTTCCTTTTTAACGACAGACTTCCTTATAAATATTGGAATAAATCGTCGAACAACAAATTCATAAATATATAACAGAAATTGTCGTAATGGTGGAAGTGGAGCTAAATCTTTATCCTCCTCCGAAAGAGGTATCATCCTGGAACAAATTCAAAATTAATCACATAACAACTCCAGTTAGCGACCAATATTTGAAACAAGGTACAATTTTTTTTTTTTCGCAGTAATATAAAACTAAAATAAAGACTCACATTTTTGTGGTCAGAGTATGTACTGGTCCAAAAAGCATGGCAATTGCTGTACAAACAAGGCAGATTACATTGAATGGCATACTAAAATCCGGTACTGGTAATAAGATAAGCAGCACTTCGCCATGCATACTTATTATGCGCGAACTTTTTGCACCTAATAGTCTGGAAAATTTTGCACATAAGAGAATCTGTATGATCAAACTACAGTATTTAACTGAACCTAATACTTACTGATCATAGGTAGTAGTGAATGAATCGCCTAGGTCGGTTCGATTTTGTTTCCATAATTCAGCAAAAGCATTAAAAGTTATAACAGGAGCCGGAATATAAAAGCCATGGCTAGCATCTGGCGGATATTCATTTACTCTAAAAAAAATTTACATCTTCACTTTTTATTAGAACCATGCACCCATACCATCATTTCAGAACATGAATATATGGATTTGGAAAATTCATTTTTCCAATGTTAATTCTTTTTCTGAGAATTCTACCAATGATTTTGGAAATTATTTTCGAGCCTTACTCTTGGTATATGCTCTACAGCTTACTGAAATATGAATGAAGATTAACATCTTAGAACTTCATCATTTCATATCAAATGAAAATTGCGATCGAGGAAATTTGAAAGCTACCCAGAACATGAATTATTTCATTAAAAGTTTCAAAACAAAATGCAAATCCTACCGTCATTTTGACGAACAACAGGTATAGCTCTTCACTACAAATGATATTGACAATGTAAAAAATTAGTTCTAATCACTGCATATGATCATGAATTAATTTTTCCATTATTTCTAAGCAATATGCTGACTGCTTTCATAATCTTTAGTGATAAACGCTTAACAAACCTCAAGAAGGCTTTATCGAACTCAAAAGACATCTCACAAAATGAATTTTCTGGAAGAGTAACATTCCATTCCAGCAGAAATGGTCGCTGGCGATCTTTTGCCGGCACAAAGATCTTTTTGTTCACTTTCCCTTCCAAGAATTGCCCCTTAAAAATAAAACAAATTTTAGAATTTCCATACTGGAACATCACTCGAAAACCGAAATATATATGAAATGTTCGTTAAAGTATATTAAATTATTTCATTTAGCTTTTGATTTGTGCCACATATTTGTTTAATTAATTTTTAAGCATAAACTCAATATTAAAATCTGTTAATTACCTGTTCAACGTCTAAAGGACGACAAGTAAAACGAATTGTGTGGTAGTATATTTTTATGAACCATGGCACTACGTGACTATAAACAACACACTGCGGAATATGTTGGCCGTTTCTCAAAATACTAATCAGACGTCCCGATTGTTGGTCTGTACCCGTAATATAAGTTCTAATGCTGAAAATAACAGCTCATTTCATAATCAAAAAAAGCAGAATACAGGTACATAAATTTGGACAACTTATATTCTAATTCAAAATTGAGATCTTTTATGCAATAAAAAAGGATATGACTTAACACAAATGAGATTCAAATGTTTTCAAAAATCCTTCGGTGGGTACCTAACCCGTCCCTCTCGAATATATGCCAACACATCTAAAAATCATCACCTGAACTACCACCAATTAAAAGATAGAAACAAAATGCTTTTTAGAATTAAACACGAACGTAACCAAAGTAGGAATGTTATCGACCGGTAATTCCAAACGACTTTCATATTTTGCACTTATATCAATCGGGAATGCATGAAGTGGATAATCAGAAATATTATACAGTGAGAAAATGCGATTACCCAGTTTTCGTTGTTTGCCGTTTTTTATCACAACCTGAAGAAAAATAAAAACGACTTTAAATAAGTCAGACTTTTTTCCAGCTGCCAAAAATAAATGAATCCTAAGTATGAGAAATAAAAAAAAAGCAATGTAAAACTACTTTTCGATCCACTTCGAACAAAACAGTATCCCTATCTGCTATTGCACAGCTTTGATCCAGTCGTCTACCAAATATATGACGAAAACTCCAATCTGAAAAACCTTATAAATGACAATGTAATATATCTTTTATAAATGCTTCAAAAAAGAAAGTTCAAAAGAATTTAAACAACCTAAACTTCGAGATTTCAAATCCAATTCCGACACAAAATTTAAACTGAGCTCCAGTCTTCTCCGTCTTCCACAATTTGTTGTCCCATCCTGAAAGTTCAGGTAGGGCAAATGTAATTTAACAGATTCACTTTTTGAAGATATCCTATTTTGTTAAAACAGTGCTGCTTCTAATTATAATACTTTTGAAACATTCAGACAGCGCTAAGAAAGATATTTCGGAAGTACTGTAAAAATACAGGAATATTACAAACCTCACAAATGTGGAGAAAGTGTACGGACATCGAATGAAAAACCGATTCATACATTTTAATAGGATTTAACAGCGTGGATAAGCCAGTCTGAATTATTTATAAAATAACTGCAAGTAATATCATAAGGTAACTAAGGTTTTAGATGGTTTGGTTTTTTATAGTTGTCTTGCTTTTTTCAGTGTTTTTTTTTTTTATTATTCTGATAGTTTTTTGACTTTATATGTTTTTTATGAATTAACTATGTTGTCTGTTTTGTTTTGTTGTTGGGATATAGTCCCCAAGTGGAAAAGGTTAGTGCTTGTTATTATTTCGTTTTTTATACTTTATTTTTTGGCATACCTTTTTTATTTTCTTTTCATCATGTTTTTAATTTTTTTAATTTTGTTTATCATGATTTTTTTATCTTTTCCAAAAAAACTTTTCTTTTAAATGTCTTCTTTTGTTCTCGCTGATCCACATAAGATAACCAGTAGACACATGAAATAAAACTTTATAAAAGCAGACTGTTTTGAAAAGCATACCTGCTTACAAGGAAATAATTTCCTCCAAGGTGTAAAATTTTCTGTACAAATCGTTTCGCTAGCCAAAGCACCATACCGAAAAATTAAATAATAAAAAGAAATAAACATATTACCAATATTAATGAAGTAAAGACCGGAGAGTTGTAAAGAAATCAACCAATATTTTATGTATGATTTCCACATATCCACGCTTCCCACTCCAAATTTCAACATCAAAATTGCATGTTCATCACGATAGACACAAAAAAATGAAATTCTTGAGTAAAAAAGTCACTTTATCAGAATACCTTATTTGTGACGAACTTTCTGGATGCATATAGCCCATCTGCAAAAACGAGAGTTGTGGTGCTGCTGTATAAGTAGGCAAAATATCGAGAAGAGATGTACAAAAAATACCATTCATCGAATTGACAAAACTTGACCATCGTTCATCAATTAATTCGCTAAAAAAAATGCTTTAAATGGAAAATCTATTTAAATCACTTCAAACAAAATTTAATTCTGCATTTCAATTTCTTATTAGCACAACAACTCTTTGTATAACTTCTGCTTCCAAAACAACAATTCACTTTGTTTTATTTCCATTAATCCAAGCATACAATTGCGCACCGCTTGGTGAAGACGGCTGAGGTTGTATTCCCCATTCGTTCAATCTCCAGAAACCTAAATTAAATAAAAATTTATGTTTCATAATTGCACTACTTGCCACATCCCAGTAATTCATTAACTTACAGGTCAACAAATTAACGAACGAAGTATATATGAATACAGCTCATTAATAAAGAAAAAAATACGATAATTAATTATTCAATAGATGTGTTAAATACTTATCGTCAGACCTTTTAGTTGTTTCAGTTTAAAGTATAAAACTAAAAACAGTACCTTGTGTAAGTGATAAATGAAATTCTTGGATATGATGCTTCGTTACTACTTCACTAATAATACGTGGAAAAAGAGCATAATCCAATCCTTTAAAAGTTTTCAAAAAATTATTCTAATTTCACTCAACATAAAAAAGCTGATTTAGGTCCAATTTAGGACTTCAATTCACTTCAATTTCAACAAATCTTTGTAATATTTAACCAAATGTAGCAATTAATTGTTTTAGTTGAAATTATATAGCCTATTTCACTTCTATTTTTGGTTATAAGAAAATTAAATTAAATAGTCAACTATATTCGTCTATATGCTTTACTCAATTATCCCTTCTTCCATTAATTAATTAAAATCAAAACGCAAGAACTTACCTGATTTAGCATCAGATGTAATAACAAACCGAAATTGAGCTAACAAATGTTCACTTTTTAATCTTTTAATAAATAATTCTTCAGTATACGTATCATTTCCTTTTAGTGTCCTTAAATCAACGCTACCATTTGATGTTAGTAATAAAGAGGAGAAGAAAAGAATAAAGCCATCATATACCATCCACATCCTCAAATGATAACAACGATGATATTATTATAGTAACAATTATGCTAACAATATCACTTACATACTGCAAATTCCTTCTTTTTGACGCACATTTAAAATAACACGCGGTAAACGCTAATTAACTTGAATTAAACTACTAAAATGGCATTAATATTGATTACAAGGTAATCTAATAAGACAATATTGAAAACCAACTGTACTAATAATATATATCGGATGTCTAAATGAATTATATGAAAACACTTCAAGAATAATTATTGAAAAGACTCCAGAATTGTCAACTTAAGGTTAAACGTAAAAAAAGTTTTCCAAAGGCTATAAGCACCACTTTTCCAATTTGCAAATTAAAAAATTTCGACATATCTCCAAGCTTACTACTCACTGTGAAACATTTAAGTTTCACTGTATTTTAATCTACCTTAATTAAATTAAATGTCCTTCAAATTTACCATTTAATTAATTCGGTGAGTACAACTATTTCCTCTCACTTTTTTAATGTTTGAAATTATTCATTAAAATAATTATAATTCAATAATTATTCCTTGATAATGCTTATCCATTTCACATTTAATTATAAATAAACAATTCAATTAATAAATTACTGTAATCTGAAATTGCTGAATTCATATCTTACTAGATTATCAGTTATATTAATTATTATGTAAAATAAGTTTTGAAGTGATAATTACATAAAAAAGTCAGATAAAAAGTTAATTTGATAAGTGATAAGTTATCGGACTACATGATAACAGACTCATCTATTTGTCAATAGATGAAACGCTATAAAATATTTGCACATACTTATTTATTCACGATAACTATTTAAAAATGACGTGATTAACAAATTATGTGTCACGTACGAGAATGTTTTATCCATTATTTTATGCATCAAAAAATACTTGAAAATAATTTTTTCATTTTTCAAACAAAATTGTTTGCAATATTTTTGAAATATTATTGTCTATTAAAACTGTAGAAAAGTAAAGTATAAAAGAAGGATAATTTGTAAATTATATGTTGAAAAGATAAAAAATATTTTATTGTGAATTTGCTAAATAATTTGATAAAGTGAAAATAACTGAAATGAAAAATGAATAATAACAAATAAACATGTACAAAGCCCAGCAATTATACAACTAAATCATATTTGTATTGATAATAATTTATAGTAGACAATGATAGTGATGGTGATGACAATAATAATAATAATAAATATATTAAAAAGAAACACAAATATAAAATATAATAAATAAAATATGACAAATAACATTAATGAACAATGAGCAGTATTATATTAAAAGACATAAATCACTGCTCAATTTCTTTTTCTCTTTCGATTTTTTTTTTTGTTTTTGAAAAAGCTTTTTGACATTGACTTTCTAATAATTCAAATTTTTTAAAATGTTAAAAGAATCAGAAATCATTGCAACAATTAAATATTATTACATTGGAATTATCAAAATTTGTTAGAAATTCATAAAAGAAATTTCTTTTTTTTAAAAAAAGTAATAAATTATATTAGTAAATTAAAATAGTAACAGTAAAAAAAATAAATATATAGTAATATGGAAAATTTTATTTTAATATTTTAACAACTATTACTGATGCAATATTCAATAAGTAATTAAGTCATTCAATGGAAATATTACTTTAATATACGCTAATTTTATTTTAGTATTTACTATTTAACAAATAATTAAATATTAAAATAACATGCAAAAAAAAAAAAAAAAAAAAAAACCACATGTCAGTATTCATTTCAAATATTAATAATTTTTTTTTGTTTTTTCTTTTTTTAATTTGCTTTATTAATTAAGAAATCATCAAACTGTAGCAAAATTCTAATATTATATATTTATTAAAAGAAATGATAAACTGATATAAAATTAAACAGTATTTGAAATAAATTCATTACATGAAAATAACTTAATATAAATTCGTCAAATTAATATTGTAAGGTCATATTCCATTATCGCATTATCATATCATATCATATCATATCATGTGTGTATCTACAGACAGATACTGTGTAATGCAAATTATTCATTTTGTTTCGTTGTTTTTTTTCTTGTTCATTGTTGAAGTGATACTTCAATTAAGTGAATACTTTTGCATAGTCTGTTGGGACATTCTCGATGATCCATGAGCGCTAATTTCTTTGGATGATCAGGACAAACCTTTTGAAGTCGTCCGACAAGTTCAAACCCGCATCTGGTACAAACAATATGACTAGCTGGCCTATTACATATACAATTCTGCAAATGAAAAAAACAAAAAAATGTATGAGAAAAAATAAACGAATATAAATTTTTCTATTACTAAAAAAAAAAAAAAAATTTAAAATCCGTAAATTATAATTTATCAATTAATAAATTAATACTTTTTTTATATTACTTAATGATTTATTTAAGCATTTCATCTAATTGAATATTGTAATAATTTTTATTATATATAATAAAAATTATTAAAAACAATAACATAACAAAAATCAGAAATTAAACTTAAAAATTTTTAAAAATAAAATCAAACAATTAAAAGAGTTCAAATAATTAAATAAATTTTATATAAAATATTTAAATTAAAAAAAAAAAAAATGATACTGCTAGTTAAGAAATTGTTAAGAGTATAAATTTATAAATTTACTAAATATTAAATTACTCTAAAACAATACACATACATACACAGACATACACACACACACATACATACATTATTAGACGAAGCAGTTGTATCCTGTATTTGAGTATCATTCGGTAGAGTATTATTAGGTTTCGAAACAAATCCGGTTGACATCGGTGGAAAAGTACTACGTTGATCTGATAATGCAATCTTTGATAATGATGACGATTTATGAAACTCTCTGCAATATATCAAAAAATATTATAAAAACAATGATAGCACTATCAGTGATTAAATTTAAATTATTATCAGTAATTCAAAATCAAATTTTAAGTACATTATAGATTAGCTAACTAATCTTTATCTCAATATCGCAGTACAAATATAAAGTTTTATAATAATTATTTGCTTATTTTATAATGGTCAATTTTGATAATTTACTTTTTCATTATCATTGATAACGATAAAAAATTTATAAAATTCCCTGAAAAATAATTTCACGTAATAAGAGATTACAGAAGAAACGATAATGATTAATTAAATTTTAATATTTATCCATTCCTTCTGCTTCAATAAATAAGCTTATTCATTTATTAATTAAAGGAAGTAATAAACATTCCCTGTAAGTTTTTTTTTTTTTTAAAAAAATTTACTTATGTTTTTTAAACTGTCAAAATTTTAATTTCATTTTTTGATACTTAAATTTATGAATTATTTTCAAGTTCATTCTTTATTTCATGCCTAATTGTTTATTTTTTTTTACTTTATGCTTAATTGCTTACTTTTTATTTCACGTTTATTTTGAACAATGTAAATAATCTCAAAACAAGAAAAAAAAAGCAAATTTGAATTCTTTTTAGGATGAATTTTATAGTTATAATTTAATATGATCAATCATTTTGTTTACAAAAAATAAAATAATTAAAAATGTTGAGCATAACAATTCACTAATAAAATTATCAGTTGATCAATTTAGAGCAAATCATTAAAACTGATTCTTTCATAAGCAAATCAAAATTTAGCGTTATCTATTTTTATGATCATTTTTGAAAGAAAATGAAAAATTTTGATAAGAATCTTTCTATTATCCCATCTATTATCTATAATACAGTATTTCTTGATTAGATATTACTGATATACGACCGATAATCATTCTCAGTATTTTAAGTTTTTGATTTTATTTTTATTTCAATGTTGGATGAAAAAGAAAAGGTTAATATATTTCATAATTACTACATAAAATTGTAGTTTTGTAATCTAAGAAGAAAAAAACTTTTTAATCAATATTTTGATAATATTATTGTTATAAGTAGTTCCTAATTAATAAGAAGTAGAATTTCCATTCTACCATACTTTCCAAAAAATTTAATAATATATTATTTAAATACTCCTAAAATTTTCTTGAAATTATAAAATAAATTATACTTCTAACCAAAAAAAAAAAATATACTAAAAAATTATATTTACAAAATTATACAAATTATGATTACTAAAATTAAAATCTCATTATCCTATATTACAATTATTCTTCGATAAATTTAATAAAATATTATTTGGAACTTTTTTTTAAACTATTTAATACTTTTTCTAAATAAAATATCATTTAATTTCTTTGAAACTATTATTTAATACTTTTAAATTTCTTTGAAATATTATTTAATACTTTAGAACTTTTTTTGAAATCCTAAACGCTACATGTGCATTATATATTAATAAATGTATAGGAAAAATAAATTCTATTGCAAATTGAAGATAATAATAATGATAAAAAAATAAATTATACCTATTAGCAAAGGATTGAAAGTTTGAGAGAAATTTTGGAGAGGAAATAAAATGAAACTTACTGATATGAAGCACAAAGAGATGATGTTGGCATATGTGCATTCATTTTCTACAACCACCGATACCCTAAAAAAAAAAAATAAATGAGAAGCATGAAAAATATTAAAAAAACATCAAATGGAATAAGCCTTTTTATTCATTTTATTTAGCAAAGGAATTTGCTAATTCATTGATTTATTTATTGCTAAAAAAGATAAAAAAATTCAGCATAATTTCATTTAGAAAATTCAGATTGAATCAATGATTAATATAAGAAATAGAAATAAAAGAAAAGAGAGAGAGAGAGAGAGAGAGACAAAGAGAAAAGGAAATAAAAAATTAAATATTAAATAGTTAAAAACAAACAAATAGTAAAATTAACCTTTAAAAAAATCTTTTTCATGCTATTTCATGGCTAAGATTTGAATTAAATTTTATTTAGTAATAAAAGTTAGAAATTGAGGGTATAAAAGAAAAAGAGGAAATTTATGACAAAGATTAAAGTAACAATTAAAATTAATTAAACAGTAACTTTATACTAGCCAAAAACATGTTTAATAAAATAAAAATTTTAGATTTATCAAACAAAAAAAAAAAAACTTAAATAGATTTCAGAATTATTCCATTCCTGATTCCATGATTAGAAAAAAAATGAAATTTGATGCTATTTGAATTCTATTATTTTTGTCTATTGTGAATTAAAATTTAATTAATTTCTTTCTGAAACAATAATTTGTAAAAGAATAAATTTTCAATTGATATTTTTATAATTAAGCTGAAATGTTAGCATTCCAAAAATATTTTCTTCGTGAAGAAATTAATTTCACATAATTGAAATAATTTACTCTTTACTTATCATAATTACTAAATAATGGGATTAATACTGCATAGAATAACTTACTAATAAGAAAATAGGCCCAAATACGAGTGCTAAAACAAAACAAAGACTAGGAAAAGGACCAAAATATCAATATTGAAACAAGGATAGGCTAAAATACCAGTATTAGAACAAAGGAAATTGGCCTGAATATTAATACTAAAACGAAAAGGATAAGCTGAAGCATTAATACCAAAGTAAAAAGAATAGGCCAGAACATCAATATCAAAATAAAAAAATTGACCAGAATATCAATACCAAACAGAAAGAATAAGCTCGAATATGAATGCTAAAAGGAAAATGATAAGTTAACATATTAAAATTAAAATAATAAATAAAATTATTGAATTTGAAGTAATAAAATTAACATAAATCACTAGTATAAAATGTTAAAATATTTACATTGTTTACATTTATATAGAAAATGAAATATGATAAACAAATGTTAGAACTAAAAAAAAAAAAAGAAAGAAATGTAAGCAAATGCTTTACAAAAAAAGCAAACAAAAATATTTTATTAATGATTTAATATTAAAATAAAACAATTATTTTATATTTTGCATTAATATTTTGTTATTATGGCATATATTTCAAAAAAAGAAAAAAATGCAAAATAACAATGATTGCAAAATTTTTTCATTTTTTTTTTTTTTTTTTTTTTGCTTTTTGCAGCATATATAATGCGACATTCCATATAATATGTGACATTTTACAGTGATTAATTAGATTAGTTGAATGAAATTTTATTGTTAAAAACAAGATTAATTACAACATATGATAGTTTCTTTTTTGTTTCGCCTCATTAATATTAATGAATATTTTTTTGTTCTTTCAAAAATTTTGCAAAACTTTTGCTGTACAAATGGAAAATTTTCTTTATTATCAAAATTGTTTTTTCGTTTATAAGTTGATGAATTTTAAATTATAATTCAAATTATAATTTCTAAATTGCATAAAAATCCAAATTAATATAATCAATTAAATAATTACCACATTAAATAACAAAGAAAGAAGTTATTTTTTTTTTTTTTTTGGAGTTAATAAATAATAGTTATATATTTTGCTAAGAATAATTTTTCAAATTATTCCAATGCGTCATTCTATCGAAAATATTTATTAATGAAAAAATGAAAGATTGATTGCTTGAAAATATAAAATTTAAGTTCATTTGACAATTATTCTTTGATTTCATTTAAAAAAAAAAAAAAAAAAACCATAAAAATATATTTATAAAAGTGATAATCATTGTTTAGATTTGTTTTTAATAAAAAAAAGAAAAAAACGAATAAATTAATAATTTATGTTAAATATGTAATATTCCAATATTTACTAAATATTAGTTCACAATAATGTTTACTTTTTAAAAAATTTCAAATTTTCAGAAAAAAATAAGACGAAAATTTGGTAATGTAAAGTTAATCATTTGAAGAAAGGAATGAAAATTTTTTCGTTTTTGAAATAAACTAAGTGATTGATTTTGTAGCATTAACAAATAACCAATTCAAGATTTTATATTTATTTCTATGAAAAGGTTTAAGACAAAACATTTTCTTGAACAAAAAAAAAAAAAAAAACATTTAACTAAAATAAAAATTTTTAAAGGAAAAAAAAAAAGAGGTGAAAAAAATGTCTAAAAATAAGTTTAGTCATTGCATTTATTAGGTTCAAAAGATATATTATCCCATTCCTTGTTATAAAATTTCAGACAAATTTATTCATTTTTTTAAAAGAGATCAATTTTCTTTAAAAAAAAAATATTTTTTTTTTTGGATTAAAAATTTTTTTTATTCTAAAAGTGTTATAACATATACTGATCAAATAAAAGTAAATATGTTAATGGAATAGAAAGTTTGTACAAACTAATGGAGTAAAAATTACACCTGTTTTTCCTTTTTTTTTTTTAAACGAATAAAATTTTACTTTATTTCAATTTTGTGTATGATGACATTAAAAAAGTTTGAAAAAGTGGCAAATATAATAAACTTTTTATTAGCATAAAAAGAAAAAATTGAAGTTTAAATAATGTTGAAAATTGTTTATAATAGTAAAAATAATTGGCATTTCTGATAATAATTATAATTAATAAACAAACATTAATTTGATTATAATTAATAAACAACATTAATTTAAGATAAAATTATGATAAGCCAATAAAGATAATGAAATATTTCATTTGTTTTTATCATTTCTTTTTTTTTTCTGTCTTTAAATAAATTACATTTTAACAATAATTTTGTTTTTCATTTTTTTTACTACAAATATTATTGCAGGAAAAGAGTAATAAAATTCGGATAGAACTGACTGATAATAACTTAGATTTGCTTACTTAGCAAATATAAGTCATTTGGGAATTTTAAATTGTTAATTTTTATTTAAAGTGGCAAAACCTTTTGAGCTAAAATTAGTACATTTTTTAATGTGCAAAAAAAAAGAAAAACTTTTTTAACATTGTATATAAATGCAACAAATGACATTTATAAATGATAGCATAGAATTTTCATGTGGTTTGAATTAAACTATTTGATATGAAAAATGGATAATAATAATTTTAACTGATAGCATAGAATTTAAATGACAGTTTTTTAAATGATAAAAGTGTCACTGTAATTGAATGATTTATATCTGTTCAACAACAGTAACAACAATAATAAAGGTCATTATAAATTTATTACAAAAAAAAATCCGAAAATAATTGTATCATATTTTCAATGAATCATTTCACTATTATAATTAATAATAAATAAAATATTTCGAAGAAAAAAAAAAGAAAATTGAGAGATCAAAAATTAAACAAATTCTCTTTGGCTTTTTCTAACTTCTTTTCTCTACTTTCTTTCTTTCTTTTTTTTTTTTGTTAAATATTTGAAATATTTTTCGTTTTTTATTTTAACAAAAATTAAAAGACAAATAAATCATTTTTACTAGCACAAAAAAGGTGGGAAAAAAGAAAGATGAGATCAGATTTTATCAGTAAAAAAAAAGTGATTAAATTCTGATTAAATTGTGATTAAATTAAATTTCAATGTATGACTTTTTTTTATGATACAAACAGCAAATTTAATTTGTAAAGAGAAAAATAAAAAAATAAAATGAAATTAAAAAAAATGAATGAATATGTAATGGAATACATGCAAATAAGTATTTTTCATCATTAATTTCATCTAAGGTTCAATGCAATGTAAGAAAAAAAAAAAAATGAAAAGAATTGGATGAATGGATAGATGGTTGGATGAAGAAATGAAATAATTTTGAAAGATGAAATTAAATGAGCAATAGCTATTCAATAATGTTTAGTTAGTCACTCACTTAATTGTTTGCTTCATTTTAAGATTTCAGTATGAGAAAAAAAAAAAACAGTAAAGCAAATAAAAGTGGAAAAAAAAAAAGAAAGAAGTAATCGTATTAAAATGTTATGTTAAGAAATGAAATAAAGAAATTTTTTTCGTTCTTTTTTTCTCTCTCTATCTCTTTCTCCATCTTAACAATTTCAGCAAGTAATGAAATAGTAGTACAAGTAATGAAATATTAAAAAAAAATTCATTTTTTTTGTATTTTATGAACTATGAATATTTTGATATGATTGCATATATTATATAAGGAATTAAATTTTATCATTTGCTAAAATTATCTTTTAAGATAACTCTAAGCAGATTAATGTTTATATTTTTCACTTGAACAAATATCTTTTATTAGTATTTGCAAAGACTTTCATATGTGCTCTACACAATTTTATTAAAGTGGTTCGTAAATGTTAATTTCATAGTTTTTAATTTAACAATATTATCAATTATTAGCATTCACAGATGCTTTCACGTACGTCATTGGTAATACCGTCAAGATACTTTGCAAAAATTAATATATGTACTTCTTGCAATATATAATTCGTTAGTATAGTCAACAGATCAATAAAATTTGATTTGAACCTACTGCGTTATCAGACGACTGATTGGATATGTGATCAGTGATGTGAACAATCTCTGATTTTTGGTCAATTTCAAAAATTGTTTTAAATGAAATTACGACTATATGATTTCATTATATGTATTAGTTCATCTATTCCATTTGTAAAATTGAAGTTACAAAAGTTACAAATAAGTATTTCAATCGTTTTTGAAATAAATTATTTGGAAATTTCAAATTTTCAAAAAAAAAAAAATGTAACTTAAAAAAAATACAAAATACCATCACTCAAAGAAATTAAAATGATAAATAGCTATGAAACATACAAAAAGTTATAAGAGAATACATTAATCAATGAAAATAGAAAAGCTATACTTTTTTTAAATTGAGTGTAAAAGAAGAGAAGTGAAAAGATTAAATTTTAGCTGATAATATTAACAGATTTTATCGATAATTAATGATTTACAAACAAATCTGATATAATGCAACATATTATATTTAATCATTTCCTATTTCAGTTAATTATTGTATTAAATGCTTTATATAAGAATAATATATATAATAAATGTAAAGATTTACCTAACCTGAAATAATTAATAGTAATAATAGATATCATGATTTACATATAGATTAAGATAATTTGACATCAAATAATGATAATGTTAAAAGCTTAAAAAAATATCATCATGTTTGTTTGTCTTATTTTAGATGTATTACTTTAATAATTATATTTTAAGCATTTCGATTTTTTTTTTTTACTTAATAATATCTGTTATATTATTAGCATAATCAGGGTTTTTCAACATTGTTTTATTCTTTATTTAATAACTTTTTTTTCTTTTTATTTTAAGCATTTTATTTAATAATAGCTTTGCACTGATCAATGATTAATTTTTTATTTTATATTTAATTAATATATAAAATAGATTAGAATAGAATATATGTATTTTGAACTATTATATATGATATATTTATCGATGTAAATCATAGATATCAGTAGAGATTAGTCAGTGCAAATGTGTCGATAAACGGTGGATAATTTGAATTATAATTGAATAAAGAAATTTAACAAAAAAAAGAGATGGAGAAAAATAGAATGGGAAAAGAAAGAGAAGGTGAGAACGAGAGGGAGAGAGAGAAAGAGAAAAGGGGGAGAATATGAAATGAGAAACGGAATGCTTGTAGCTTTAAGAGTCAAGAAAAGGAAAATGAAAAAAAAAGAGGAATGAGAATGAATGGATTGGGTTAATGAATGAATGAATGAATGAAATGAAATGAATACAATTATCGACTGACATTTGTTGCACAAAACATTATTGAATGATGATCGGCCTCATTTGTCAACAAAAATACATCGGAAAGTTTAAAAATTGTTTATCATGCGATGAAATTGTTTACCATATGATGCATGTAATGGTATTGAGGATGAAGAGAGGAAAACAGAGGAAAAACAACGAGCAATAATGAAATATACAGTTTATTGATTACTATTTATAAATTGTAATTCTTGCAGATCACTTTTTTTTTTCATTTTTAAAAAGAATTGATAAGAAGTATTGAGAAAAATCTGGAGATCATTAAAATTTATAAAAAATAAGAAAGAGAAAAGAAAGTGATAATGAAAGATATCGCTGCTAAAGGTTAGAAATGTTGAAATTAAAATGAAAACATTAAATAAACTTTCTAGACAGAAAAAAAAGTAGAAAATAAGAACTATGTTTATTAAAAAAGGTCAAATTCTAAGAATACAAATATTATCTATTCACTCTGTTATAAATGAATCAGTCATTTTTCTGGAATGAAATAAAATGGAAATTCTTGTATCGAAACAAAAATAAATAACTTATAATGGTCGCACTTAATTTGAATTAAACAAATCCATTTCAAATGTAGCAAAACTATATGAATTCAATTTTATTCATGGAAATTTTGACAAAGAAAATATGAAGAAAATATTTGAAATAACTTATAATACCTTTATCGACACTGCTCTATCTATATAAAGCAAATATCATTTAAGATAAAAAGAAACCTTAAATACTGTTTTAAATCTATTCTGAATTAAAAATAAAATTCAAATTATAAAGGATTGTTCCCTAAAGCATTTAAATGAACAAAGTAAATAATATGATTATTGTAATATTAGTTTAAAATAAATAGAAATTATTATTAACAATGTCACCTTTCAATTTGTTAAATAAAATAATCGGAAATTTTTTCTTCAAAACTTCTAAAATAAATAAGATCAAATTTGCTCATGGCAGAAAAGTTAAAATTAATACCTATAAACAAATAATAATAATAATAACAATAATAATAGTAGTAATGATAATATTAATAATAATAATAAGTAATGACAAAAACAATGCCAGCACTGATAATAATAAAATAATAATAAATAATAACAATAATAGTTATAAAAATGGTAATGATAGATAATAACAATGAATAATATTAATAATAACATATGCATGATTTTACTTTGTTTATCTACATGGACTTATAAATAATTAGGAGAATTTATAAATATTAATACTGAAATTGCAAATATTCAATTTCTTTTTGTTTTTTACTTTACTTTTAAGTTGAAAGCAAATTGCTCTCAAAAAGTTGTTTCAACAGTATATTAAGAATTAGAAAGGTAAGAAGATTTTACATTAAAATGTTGGAATTCTTAATAGTTGCATATTTTGAAGCGAAGTGAAAATTATTATTTTCTAATAAAATCTTAATATAATATACCAACAGTCATTTCTCGAAACGAAACCTCAAAGTTTTACATTTTTAAGGCTTTTCGCTAAACCAACATTCATTATTATTATCGATTACTAATGTCACAAAATAATAATAATAATAAATTCATCATAATCAGGTATAGTATAACATGCTACAATTACTTCATTTGTAATAGTTTTACTAATTAAGAAGTCAAATGGATAATTAATTTGTAAAATACTAATTTAGATTGTAACATCTGAATGGAAATGGTAATAATTAAAACAAAGAGGAAACGATTATGAGAATAATCATCCACAATTTGATAATTATTTCGACATTTCATTATTATATTTGCTATTTCTCAAAAACGAGTTCTATTTTCCTTTATATAAACGTTTCACAATTAGCGATTAAATGATATTCTATTTGCAAAACGAATGAAACATTTTCTGTTTGCCCAAATCAATGTGAAATGAATGGAAGAATGAATGTGTAATGTAATGTTTCACTGATATGAATGCTGTATATAAGTGATAATTATCAAAATATTAGTATAATCGATTCTCGAATAAAATCCAATTTTATTCATTTCTTTTCCTCTTTTTTATTTTCTCGATTTTCCTGCTTTCTTTCATTTTGTTCATCTTTTTTATCAAAAAGGATAAAAAGTTGTTGCAATTAGTAAAATTGAAATTAAATTAAATTGAAATATTAAACCATTTCAATATTAAAACAAGATTTGAGGAAAATGAAGAAAGTAAAAAATTGGAGAATATGGTTTATTCATACATAATATATTGGATGATTTCAAATATAATTTTGATAATATGACTTGGAAGAAGTGAATCGAATCGATTGGGATGAACAAAAGGAAAGGAAAGAAACTTTTAAAAATGAAAGGCAAAGTAGACTGAAATAAAGTTTGTTGTCTTTCCTTCTCAAACACATGAAAGAGGCAAAAATAAGAAAAAATTTTAACCTTTTTTTTGAATAAAAAATATATGCTATTATCAATTGGAAATAATTGTTACAATTCAATTTGTCTGCTGTACTTTATTATTCAGAAATTTTGCAATATTTTGAGAATTTTCAATGTAATTTTCGTTCTCAGCTATGAAATTTCAAATGATCTTGAAAATTTGCTTTGAATTCCTGAGTTTTCTTTTTCCAGTACAATTTTTTCGATCATAAGCTGTTCGGTTAAATCGAGATATTAATAACAAAGTTCAAAATTATTTGATCATAAATTGATTAAAAGAAGGGAAAGTAAAGAAAAAGATTGCTGTAGTAAATAAAAAAGACGAGAGTGAAGATTTTTTGCATAATTAATTATATAAATGATTGAAATCATTTCACTTTCCTTTTAATTAATCATGTCGGATAAGATATGTCAAAAAATTTTAAATAGCATAAAATAGATATTTCATTTCATTTATTTGAGTCTCAAAAAAAAGAAAAAAAACTTTCCAACTAAAATGCACAACATTTATCTTTTTTAATTAAAAAGCCGATTAGTAAAAAAAAAAAAAGAAAAGGGAGGAAAAAAACTGATTATTCACTGCGAAAAGTAAAATTACAAAAAATAAAAAAAAAGTGATAAAATGAAAAATAGACTTAAATGAAAAAAAAAAAAGTGAATCGTTTATATTTTGAAAGAATATAAAAAAGAAAAGATAAAGCGAGAAAGGAAAAGAAAATGGTAAGAAGCGAGAAGTAGGAGAAAAAAGGAGAAGAAATAAAACATAAATCATTAACTTCATCTAACTTTCTTTATAAATTTTTGAAATTGGCATTGAAATTTGTTACTGTCAAGAAAGCATTCTAAACTATTTCACATTCCTTTTCCAATTTTCATCGAAATGTTGCAATTTTATTACCATTTGACATTTTAGTAAATTTAACAGAACTATTATTACATCACATTCTTACTTTATCTGTTGTATATAACTTATGATACATCACTTCTAGCTTCACATTATCATAGATTCAATGAATTCTTCCTTCCTTTCACGTTTAGATTTAAATGAATTCCTTCTCCTCATACATTTTCAACTCTGTGTTACTCTGCTTAAAGTTAAATGAATTTTTCATTAAAACTGACAGGAAAAGAAAAGGAATGAGAAATTTCTGCATAATTTAAAAATAGTCAGAAGTATCATGCAATTAAATTAGCAACTAATAATCGGAATTAAAATTGATTGAAAATTTTTTATCAAATTTTTATATCAAACAAATGAAGGTAAAAAGAATGAAAGAAGAGAAATAGCGATGATCGACGGTCATAATGACATAAAATATAAACCGATAAGAATAGATGAGGAGGAGGAGGAAAAAGAAGAGGAAAGGGATGAGAGAGAAGGATAAAAAAGGAGGAACAGTTGTGTCGAAATATTTCAATGACGTTTATCATCAGGATCATCACCATCATCATCACCATCACCGCCATTATCACCATCATCGTCACCGTCATCACCATCACTAATCATCATCATCATCATCAACCATCATTATCAACCATTATCATCATCATCGTCATCACCAACCATCACCATCACCATCATCATCTCATCACCAACTATCACTCACCATCATCATCATCATCATCATTACCATCCTTGTCGTGATTATCATCATTACTACCACTATCATAAACAACGCTATTACCATCATTTTTACTAGTCATCATCATCGTTATTATAACTTTAATGATACGATTAATAGTCAAAATACGATGGATATTTTTATGAAAGTTTTTTTTTTTTTCATAAAGCTTTCATTACTGATAAATGATTGCTAAGTTGAACAATCGATGCTATTAATTTATCCAAGGTATCGCTATTGTTTCATACTATAAAAAAATTCAGTATAAATTTTTAAAAGTATGAAAAGGACAAAAAAATCAATAATTTGCTAGCATAAATGAATTAAAAATGATAAAATTTTCAGTGTTGCTACCATTATTACCATCACTGCTGTTATCGATTATATTTTTGTTTATTTGTTTTTTTTTTTTTTATTTACTGAAGAAAAATAACTGAAGGCAACCAGACAAATGTCAAAATGTCACATATGTTATGTTATAAATGAATGCTATTGAGGTCAAATGAATTTTTATTCATCGAGTGAGTTAAGTGAAGTGATTAGAAGAAGTCAAGCCAATCTGTTGATTAATTAAAAGAAATCATTTAACTTAAAAAAAGAATGAACTTAAGAAAAAAGAAAGAAAACAATAACTTGAAGAAGATAAGAAAATATTTGAAATAGGATAAAAGAAGCAAGTAAAACATTAAAGAACAGCACGAAAATTGAAAATTTTCAACTTGCTATAACTATTTCACTTCAAATCAGCAAAAAAAAAAATTAATGAAACACATTCATTTTTTAAAAAAAAAAAAAAGATATTTTAAAAATGAAAATTTGGAGTTAAAAAAAAATCTGATGTTAAATGTTGAATAATTGTGCAGTGAGTTGAAAATAATCGAAAGCAAAATAAATTATAAAATAAAATAAATACGTTTATTTCTGAAATTGCTCATTTTTATCCATTTAGTCTTTTTCATTATTTCGAGGATTAATTTAAGGTAAGTAAGAAAAAATTATTATAAAAAAGAAACCAAAAATAAAAAAAAATAGTCTATATTCCTAAAGATATATATCGTATTACTTTTACTTTATGCCTAGTGCTCACATGCTTGTTATTTTCTCTTCCTCTTTTTTTTAAAAAAAAAAAAAAAGAAGAAAAATAACAATCAATTTAAAGAAAGTAAACAAGCCGATATGATAAAAAGAAACGAAAGAGAAAAGAAGAAGACGAGAAATTAAACTGTAATCAAAATGAAAAAATGTTTAAACAAGATTTATAATATTTCCGTTGAAAGTTTCAAAAAGTTTTTAGAAAACAAGGAGAAAAGCAAAAAAAAAATTTTTTTTTTGTTACTTAAAAGAAATAAACTGAAGAAATTGCAAAAAACTTTAAACATTTAGAAATTTTATTATTATTACTACCATTATGATATCAATATCATTGTCACTATTCCATTTATTATTATTATTATCATTATTATCACTATTGTTATTATTCTTTATTGCTGTTATTATTATGCTTTTTTTTAATTACTATTATTGTATCATGCCTTTTTCATTTCAATATATTTTTGAATTTTTTCTGACAATTCTGCTTTTTCTTTTGCTCTCTTTCTCTTTGTAATTAATCAAAGTTTAATTGAATGATGATGCACGCTACTGATCTAAATTGATTCAGTTTTAAGCATAAGCTTATTTAATGAAAACATTTATACTTATCAAGATTAGTTGTTTTCATCAAATTACTTTCACATTAAATTATTTCGTATCATTTACCGTTTATGAACAATATCCAATTAATAATTATAACATTTCATTCCGCTGTTTTTCATCAAAATAAATGATATATGTAAGAAGGAAGAGAGAAAAAAATTCGACAGTTTTTTCTATTTCAGGAAAATTTATGTCTAAGATTAAATCAATTCAGTTCAATTGAATGCAATATAATTCTATTAAAATTTAATTAATTACAAAAAGAGGAAATGCAAGGAGATTTTCGAAAATATATTTTCACAAAACAAAAGAAAGATTTACAAATTTCTAATTTTTTGTTTTTTCTTGTTTTGCAAACGATCACATAATATAATTTCTTAAATAATTAAAAATTGTTGAATAAATTTGCAAAAAGAAAAAAAAAATTGAAAATGATAAATTCATGTGGCGCATCAACATTGTTATCACATGAAATACGCCAAAAATGCCATGTGAAATGGAATGATATCTTTTAGTGAAAAAGAAATTGTCATATTGAAACAAATTTCAATTGTTATTTACTAGATGAAATCAACCGATCATTTTCCACTTTCTGCTTTTCATTCCCGACAACAACAACAACTTTCTGCAATGTCGCACATTTATCAGCTTATTAATCTTTTTTTTTCATTTTTTTTTAATAAATTTTTCTCAGATGATGACAATCACAGACAGACAGAGACAGACAGATAGATCGATATGTCCGTATGTCGGCATCTTTGTAATTTTATTGATATATTGATTCGATGAAAGAAGAACTCAAAATATTTGTGGCAAAAAGTTTTTTTTTTTTCACAGATATGAATTTTATAACCGATCATTTCTATGAATTATAAAACATAACGATAATATTATCTAAAAATGATTATGTCAACAAATACAATCATTACTTTAGAATTATTGTATAATTCATCAAATTTGATAATTAATTGTTGAAATAATCATTTCTTAGATAATATAATATAATATTATATTAAAACAATGTTTTTTGGAAAACAAAGAAAGAACAAATTATTGAAATTATTGCAAAAATGATGCAGAAAGAGATGAATTTATTCATTATATGTGATAATAATTGTAGCACAAAATTAAGTTATTATTAATACAAATTATTAAATAGTATAAAATTAAAATATTTTATAATAAGCATAACGAATGGATTAGTGATAATATTAATGTATTTAGGAAAGAAGAAAGATGACCAATGTGATGACCTGATATAGTGTAGTAATATCGTTAGAATCAGATATTTACGACGAAACAACAGAAATTACTAATTTGATGACCACTATGTATCACACTAATTCGTTTATATTTTCTCCTTCCAATATTTCTTATTCCTTTCATTCCCTTTTTATCACAAATATTTTACTATACAAATAATATTATTGGAAAGGAGAATACTTTTACTCTGCAAATAAAAATACCATAATAATAAACTAACATTTTAGAAAGGAAGAAAAAAAAAAACATATAAAATAGCACGATGTTATCTACAGGAGAAAAAAGATTTGTTGACAATCACACATATCATTATACTGATAACAATGTTAATGACTAATGATAATAATTAGAATATGAGAGAGTAATTGTGAAACTCATATTCTAATAACAATCAGCTAATGCTTATTTACGTATGAATAATAAATCATATGAACAATGATAATATCACAAATCATTAATACCCACTCTAGACTATTATTATCTAATGAGCAACAAATTATATTTACAGTTAAAGTTATTAATACCATTAATAGTCCCTCTAAGTTTATCAGTTATATATTAACAATATCAATAATTATTAGTCATCAATGCTATTATCATTAGTCATTAATATTGTTATCAGTATAATAATATATGTGTGATTGTCAACAAATCTTTTTTTTTCTATGGAAAACACCCACTATTTTACATGTTTTTTTTTTCTTTTCCTAAATGTTAGTTTATTATTATGGCATCTTTATTTGCAGAGTAAAAATAATTCTTCCCTCCAATAATATTATTTGCATAGTAAAATATTTGTGATAAAAAAGGGAATGAAAGGAATAAGAAATATTCCCTCTGTTTTATAGATATCATTATACTACAAAAAAAGACAAACCTTGTAAATTTTCCTAAAAGACCTTTCATACGACTATTTTCTTTTCTATTTCCTTTTGTTCATTTTTTTTCCTTCATCTTTGATAAATTCAATCTTTTGGTATTTCTCTTCATTTGATCAATTATACGCCATCTTTCTCTTATCATCTGAACAATTATATGCCATTTCCTCTCATTATTTACTGATAACAGTGTAATAATTGATAGATAATCGAGAATGCATTAGCAATACTGAACCCTATTAGATATCCATCATATTTAAAATGTTTTACAAAACTTTGTTACAGAATAAAAATATGTCAATCACAAATTCGTATTGTACTTTGTTAATGAAAAAAATAAAAATGGAAACGAATGCAAAAGTTTGAAGGCAATAACAATAATGCAGTAATATAACAATTTTTTAATTGTATTTCTAATTTAAATGAAAAACAGAAACAAGAAAAAAAGGAAGGAATTTCGTATTAGTTTAATTCAGTAATCCCTTACTTAATCAACTGATAAAATCTTTAAGTACTATTCCCAAAAATCTATTCCCAAATACTTCTATGAAATAAGATTTGCGAATAAATCTTCTTATATAATAAAAACAATAAAATGAATGATTAAATTATCACTATAAATAATCCAAAACGAAAAAACAATCAAATGTTACAGGAATCAGGAATAAAAAAGAAAAATATTACATATCTAAGAGAGAATTTTTGATAAATGAACTGCCAATAACCATAATGAATGAATGATAACTTTCTTCATTTCCTCTCAATATTTACCGATGAACCTCTCACATATTATCAAAAGATAAATAGTTTATATGAAATTATACGCAACAATAATAATTTATAAAGTATGATAATAAACCTATCAACTCGCATATAAGAAAACAGTACATAAATACCTCCAATAATGATGTTATCTTTATTTGCATCATTATCCACTTTTTTTAGTAAGTAAATTTTCTACGAGTATTTATAAGCGAAAAGTACATTAATGAAAGTAATAGATCACTCTGATAGTCATGTAATAGTACGAAGAATATCAGTGAAAAAATTTACTACGATAAATCACTTCAATTAAATAGTAAAAACAGAACAATAACAAAACAAGTACAATAAATAAAAGACAAATGATATAATTATGAAAAGAAAATTTCGATTCGAATCTGAATATCTTGCATAAATTTAATGATTTATCTGTGAGACTCTAGTGACTTGAAATGTATCATAAAAGTGTGCTAAAAAATACCACCTGTTG